CTTGGTAAATGACCTCCTCAGAGTTACATGCAGTGTTGGAGATGGAGCTAGAAGATCACTCCAACAGAAGGAGGGAGTTCCTGTGAAACAGTATGGCAGTGGGCTGGTTGGCCTGTGTGCTGGGTGCAAAGATGGCCTCAACTGTCCCCTGGTAGTCCTACTTATTTTCCAGTTCTGCTTGCTGACGAGTCCTTCACACTGCCTACATATGCAGAATATTTGTACTATTTGTATTAATTTGTATACAAAAAGAATATTTTTCATTTTTAAGAAAATTCCTTTAAAAAACCTTTTAACACTAGCCAAAAAATTTGAATGTAAAGAAACATACTGCCTTAGGTAGAAATATCAATAGTACTTTGCAGGAGGTTGCCTTGACACATGTGAGTGTTTTTGGTGATTAAAGAGAAAGCACTTAAATAACAACTACAGCTGATGTGATTTGAGCACAGTCTAACCAATCACTAGACAAACATATTTCAAGACTAAAGTCTTTAATTGTCACAACCACTGGTGAGATGAACATTGTTCATTCCCATTTTATGGATCCGAGTTTAGAGAGGTGGAGAGATTCATTTGTTTACAAAACAAGCAGGGCTTGAGCCTGCATTTCAACCTCTGATCCTCTGTTCAAAGCCTGGCTTTTAAAAAGCCGCTTCTCTCTAGATCAGCACAGGTTTGGGGTGGATGGGGATTGCATTATTCCAAGCAGCAGCTGTTGCACAGAGTGAGATTGCTTGAAAAGAGCAGCACATTCTCCTAATTACCTAAGGCAAGGAGAACATCTGTGTAGGAAAATAATGAAATTAATTCTAAAGTCTAGCAGTTGCATACATTAATTGACATTAATTAATGCCAAATTACAAGATACTTCCTATGGAACCACATCATACACTCACCAGAATTGAATATGGAAAGAGTTCATCATACTTAATGCTATTACAGCAAGCCCCAAGGGGACTAAGTGTGATTGGTCGCTTATTATGAAATGCAGCCAATTTCTTTCTGTTTCCATTAGGAGGAGAAAGGGAACAAACCAGGAAAATTCTACCGTGGGCAGGCGGCTCAAAATTGATCATTTCTCCTTCAGCTTGCAAATTTCACTTTGAGCCATTCTGAGCAAGAATTGGTTTGGAGACCTCTTCCAGGTGCTTTTCTTGTGTCAACTAGTTGTGCCCTTTGTAATTCTGTGTTAAAAGATAGGCTTATTACACAACTCAGCTGCAGTTTGCAACATGGAAACTAGAGAAAGAACATGCAGAAAAATTGGAGACAGTTGATCTCACAAGCCCACCATGAATCTCCCCTCCTCCACTCACCCAGCTGGGAGGTGCTGGACCAGGGATTTGTTGTACAGACTGTCCAACTCTTTCACATGACTGCCTCTCCACTGTCGTTGACATCTGTATTTATATCTTTTATTCATTTTTCCTGTGCAAACATACATTTATAGATATCTATATATACAACTTGCAAAAAACTCAGGTCCATAATGCACATATTTTGGTAACCTACTTTTTAAAAACTTTTATTTTTGAATAATTTTAGATACACAGAAAAGTTACCAAAATAGTACAGAGTACATGTACTCCATACCCAACTTCCTCTAATGTTAACATTTTATATAACCATGGTATATTTCAAAGCTAAGAAGTTAGCATTGGTATAATATTATTAATTGGCAACCTACTTCTATAATATAAAATATACTAGGCATTTTCTCATAAAAGTAGGATCTTAATAGCAAACTATACATGTTCCACATTTATTCAGTTATTCCTCGATTGTTGGCCTTTTTCTTTCCAGTTTTATATTATAAACAACACTCTGATGAATATCTGAGTGGTTAAATCTCTGCATAGATCCTTAATTTTTCTTTAAATAGAATTCTCATAAATGAACCTGAGATTAAAGGATATTATTTTATCCCATATATATATAAAATCTTGAAATGTCTTGCAAATTAGTCCACAAAAATATTAATTTATTGGTGTTCCTGTTTTGCATTTAGGTGTGTTAATTAATTCTTATATAGAACAAAAATGTGCTTAACAAAAATGGCCCAAACTCACTGAGGTTTTTTTTTAACGCAACATAATCCAAAGTTGGATTCCGGCTAACCAAGTTGAAACCCCATACTGTCATCTCTACAAATCACAATCTCTTTTAGCTTTGTTCTCTTTATCTGCAAACACAGTTGATATACATTATAGTTTTATGAAGATTATGAGTATGTATGTGCCAGGCACATTGAGCTATTGATACTGTACCTGGGGTGCCCTGCCTCTGTACTTCTTGTTTTGTGAGAAAATGAACAAAATGTGGTCATTACCTGTACAACACTGTGTCTCAATATGATGCTTGAAATTGTCCTAGACTTCTTACTATCTAAGAGTCAGTTTTACAAGTCAAGCTTACATAAGAGGTATGACGAAAAAAGTACTCATTCCCAGATGACACCACTGAGCTATTGATGATACTGTACCTGGGGTGCCCTGCCTCTGTACTTCTTGTTTTGTGAGAAAATGAACAAAAACAATGGTTAAACAAAATTGAATCTTGATTAGGAGGCCTTTGTGAACATGCTGTAATGTGCCTGGCACAAACATACTCAACAAATGTTTGACTCAGTCATCCTTTATTTTCTCCCCAAATCATTCAAATTTCTATTGTTAGAAACATGAAAAGTTTGTGTCAATATATTGTTCAGGGGCCTTTGAAGAGGAGGTTGAGGTCTTAAGAAAAACACTATTAGACAGCATTACAAATAAAGCAAGAATTGTGTATGCATCAAGAAGTTCTCATTGTCAGTCCTGGAAATTCTAACTGCAAATTGTATTTGCAATTTGAAGACCAAGGCCTCCTAATCAAGATTCAATTTTGTTTAACCATTGTTTTTGTTCATTTTCTCACAAAACAAGAAACACAGAGGCAGGGCACCCCAGGTACAGTATCATCAATAGCTCAGTGATGTCATCTGGGAATGAGTACTTTTTTTGGTCATACCTCTTATGTAAGCTTGACTTGTAAAACTGACTCTTAGATAGCAAGAAGTCTAGGGTAATTTCAAGCATCATATTGAGACACAGTGTTGTACAGGTAATGACCACATCAGAATTCAAGTCCAGGTCTCCTGATCACAAATTTCCATTGTGTCTTTGACCCCCAGCTACCTTTTGAAAATCAGAAGTCACTTAAAAGCTGTAAAAAGGGTCTGGTGAAAGATGAACTTGTAAGATAAAGATTTTGTGTGCTACAAGGAGGCTTGTTCCACAAAGGGATGTGTTCCAGGAATTGTTTTTAAAGAAAAAGTTCTTGAGCAATGCCCTAACACGCCCTAACTACAGGAATGTCTGAAAAAGGAGATAGGGAAGGAAGAGCAGAGAGCTCTTCTGTAGTTTACCTTTGGAGAGGAGGGCTCTCCATTCATCAGCCTTCCTGAGTTTATCACACACCCGGTCCATGGTCAGATGGAGCAAATGTGCATGCTGCCCCCTAGTGGTTATCTTAGCAGATGACAGGTGTAGGCAAGTTCCTTGAGTAAAGGTAGTCCTGGAAAGTTCTGCCTGGCTAACCTCCTTAAGAGAATTCTTTAGTGAATTTTTATATGTATTTTATCTATCTCAACATTTCATGCAAATAATCATCTCCTGATATTTTCATTTGAAAGCGTGGATTTCCACTTACATCTCTGATGTCTTAAAGTCAAACCCACCCATTAAGCACCAAAAACAAGTGAAATAACTTATTTTTCACTCAGAATGATATATTTCAATAGAGTCATGTTCCAGTAAGTATTTATTTATTGCCTACTATGTGACAGGAAAGGTATTAGGACCTGAGGGTACAATAACAAGGGGACAAGAAAAGCATCTGTCTTCATGGAGATTATATTCTGTGGAAACAGAGCATAGAAAGAAAGGAATAATGAACAAGATAATTTTGTACTGTGATAAATTCCATGAGGAAAAATCACAGAATTGTGCCTGATAAAGAATAATTATGGCAAATCCTCACAAGTAAAAGTGAGCTAGCTGAAATCTAGAACTTTCTTTAGGAACAACCTGGGGAGAAGCATTTGAGGCAAAGAGAATACAGATGAAAAGTCTCTGAAGTGGTAGAAAGTTTGGCCAAGTTCCTGAATATTAAGTAGGCTGGATTAGAAGAATCACAGGGAAAGTAAAAAAGATTAGCATGGTGGGAAGGGGGATCGTGGAAGGCTGAAGTGGTATGTGATGGAAGATTTGAATTCATTCTAAACGCAATGAGGTAAAGGGAGTTTTAAAAAAGAAGTGTCATAATCAGATTAGACAGAGGCCAGAATAGTGTGGTTGAAAAACAGGTATAGCCTCCCTGATGCAATATATTCCCAGCAACAGAGACCAGAATGTAAAAGTTGTCATTACTGATCTTGTGTTTATCATCACTTGAGATCCAGGGACTCAGTTTACTCAACTGCAAAGCGCAAGCAAAGTTTTGATTCAGAGCTCTCTTCTCTATTCTGTTTCACTTCTAATTAATAGAAGAGATTTTTTTGTCTTAACATAGAAGCTTATTTATAACAACAGCACTTTTATCAATAGATGATTATTGAGTGCATGTATGTGTGTTCCCCTATTTGTCAGAAGTCAACGTGTGGAGGTAAAACCTACTAAATGAGAAAAAAATTAACCATGAAATCACAAGTACTTTTGCCAATGTTTGAAGATATTTTCATTTGAGTTTGGGAGGGAAAAATTAATTAACTTAAATTAAATTCATAGAACTTAGTAGTCTAAGATGTCAAGACTTATGTAAGCACCAGGAGATGATGTAGTGGTGTTGATAGCATATGAATAACATAATAGCGATAATGTAAATAATAATGATAACAATAATGCACTTAACAAAGATTGTGAGGCTTGTTGAAAGACTTAAAGATAGTAAGGGGTATTGAAAATATTCACTCTGACTCTAAGTCTCTGTATGTATATCCCCCCACCCCATTTTTTTTTTTTCAGATTCACATTACCTAACTTGCCGAATGCAGAACTGTACGGAGGCCAACAAAAATAAACCTTTTCCAGGCCACATTGACCCAGATTCTTTGATTGTCCAAGATGATTATGTGTTTGTTCAGGTACGAAAGATCTACTCATATTGATTATCTCAAAAACATTTCTTTTCCTATTTCTATCCTTACTGCAGGCCCCTTTGCCTGCTTATACTCCCTTGAGTGTAAATAAAGGGAGAAAGAGAAAGAGGAAGACAGATAGAAAGGGGGTGGGGGGGAGAGAGAGAGAGAGAGAG